TATATATATATATATATTAAAAATTCAATATAAGGTTATATTTGTTGCAAACTTTATTAATATAAATTTACATATATTAAAAATTCAATTTTAATTGAAAAACTACTTAAAAATTGTAACTAAAATAATGCACGAGTATAAAGTAAAGAGAGGCTGGTGATCCAGAAATTCACGTGGGAACTGATTAGTCTTCATTAGAGGTGGGAGCAGTGTGCATGGTTAAGCATTACATAAATGAAGATGCATATGGTGGATGGGGTGAAATTTTGGCACTCGATAGTCCTTAAGTTTCATTTCTGAATTCTCATTATTATAGAAAGTGAATTGAAAACTTTGTCAAAGATGTGGTTGTAGCCCAATTTAAATGTTTACCCATAAGCCACAGTCACATCAAATGCCACCGTCAAAAGAAGATCCACTTAACAGCCGCACCACCCATGTGCTTTTTCTCATCTTTTCCATCCTTTCGCCTAATTTTGTCCTAGCTAGCTACATCTTCACTCCTTGGTGCCGTGGTCACCTATCTTCAATTAAACTCATCTAAGGCAGGTGTTCGACTTGTTACAATCCACCATTCCCACTCCTTTTCCTTTTTCTTTCTTTTGGCCCATCATGTCTCTTTAAATAGTGTTCCAGATTCCTTTACTGTTCATATAACTAAAATGAATTATGAGCACAGAAAATTTTCACTTTTTGTAAAATAGAATTCTCAAGTCAAATTCACATTTTATAATCATACTAAAATTTATCATATTTGATTATTGTTGAATTTATAAAGTCTATTATTATTATTATATCATCTATAAATATTTAGTTTCATAAACTTACATTGGAAATGCTCAATCCTATCTTATTACCTAATTTTGTATAATTGAGTTAATTTTTAAATCCATATTATAAGAATTTATTTTACTTAGTTAACATATTGGTTGTTAAAAGTGGAGTTCTATATATACATCATAAATCAACCTGATTCATCATAGTACTATTTAAACATCAAATATAACTAAATAAAATTATGGATTGTTGTATACAATTATTTTATTTCTTATTTTTATAATCAAGTCTTTTATCCCAACGGTTATAAGGTTTATTCTATGATTTGAGAGGTCGATTCAGTACTCTTAAATTTGATTATTGTTTATGTTAAAATAATATTTAGTGATTAGAAATTACTTTTCGTAAATGTAAATTGGTCATTAATTATCAATTTTTGGAGATTAATTACCTGAATCATGTCTTTGGAAAAAAAAAATACACACTTTTTATAAAATAATTCTCTAAAATTAAAAGCAATTTTCATGTTGGAATCCATCCTAATTTGTCTTTTGTGAATGGAAATAGCATCGCTGAAAAACATTCGGCTTACAATTCGATATTTGTTAATAAAGTACAAGTAAACAAATGGACTTTTGTAATTACATTGTACCCTCTTTTGTCCAATTTTTAACAGTTATTTGGGTAGTTGAGGTTTTTCAATTGCTTCAATGCTACATAATAGTATGAACACGATTCATGGAATTTGATGGTTTTCTTTTGTTACTAATATTGTGTACGTGCCTTGGCTTTATTCATGGTCGATAGTCAACACAGTGCATTTGGGTGTCTGTGTCGGTCACATGGAACAAGAGAGACAGAAGATAGAAAGGAGAATTTAATAACATATGTATAGTAGCTAGAAACTTTGTATTGTAATATAATAGTAATATCAACTCTTCTGCACTTGTTTTTTCTCTTAGAACGTGGAGTGACTTGGTTCTAAGAGTAACAGGTGGAGGTTGTAATCATGAGCAACTCAAAACTGAAAAAAAGAAAAGACAAGCAGCAGAAAAGGGGAAAAAGAGTGGAGATATATGGAAATCCAAGGAAAAGTAAATACAAATCTAGAGATCGACCAATAGGCCTTTTCTTTCTCTTTTTTGTTTTTTCCCTCCCTTTTCTTTTGGAAGCTATGTATATATATTTTTTGGTTAATTTCCTTTTCGGAATGAATGGATGAATTAACCAGAAGTTGCTTGATTATGTCAGCAAGGAGAACCTTTCTTACATGTGAGTGCACCAGCAGCTGTTGTTATAGAACCAACAAGTGAAGATGGTCTTGCACTTAAGCTAGAAGCCCTTGAATAGCTAGAAGAGGCTCCAGCACCCGATGGAGTAAAAAACGCACCGTTTACCAACAAATCCCCTTCTGACCTCCAATTCCAACCCTGCCATTCACTCTCTGGTGCATCCTCACGTTTTGTCACCTAAACAATTTCAACCATGCCTTAGTACATATATATGATCACATTAATTACATGGTACAACATTTAATTTAATTTCTTGATTGTTTTATTTAATCACACACCTCTTTGCTGAATCTGTCATCGGGTGCAACAAATCTGTTGCCTTGGCAGTTGATGGTTGGATTAGCACTTCCCCCAATGGCATACATTTCCCAGTGAGTATAATCATTGTTCACCACATGGAAATACCCATGCCTACACCTGCAATAAAATATAATTCAAACTTAACCCATGTTTTTGTCCCCACAAAATGACTCATTCACTCCCACATGCCACATACATCCTTTTCGCTTTTCCCATTTAACCTTTCTCCACAAGACACGTGTTTAATTAATAAATGTAATTAAAAATAAAAAATGAATAGAATTACCTCGGCATCCTTTGAACAAGGCCTTCACCAAAGTGGTTGAAAGCAATAGTGACTTGCATGTTCTTGTCTTGGGTGTAAGAGTCACTGTGACCCAACAACATGACCTTATCATGATGCGTCATATAATTATTGGAGATGGTGATGGCAGTGGAGCCATGGATGGCATCGATCAAGCCGTCGTTGCAGTTGGACAAGGAGCAATGGTCGACCCAAATGTGACTCCCTCCAAAGATGGACACCCCATCACCGTCCGAGACGGTTCTCCAGCCGTAGTGGCGTGGGGAGTCCCGCACCATAGCGTTCCCGCCCTGCTTGCAATCGTGTATGTGAATGCCATGAATGATGACGTTGGTCACGAACTGTATGGTGATGCATGGACCACCCGCAATGTGGACGCTAGACCCTCTGCCATCGATGGTCTTGAAGGAGTTCATGATCAGCTCCTCCTTCAGCTTGATCACCATGTCTCTCGCGAAGATGATCCACAGTGGCTCGTCTTGGATCACCGCATGCCGCAGTGTCCCCGGCTTAGGGTTCACCGCGTCGTCGTCGCCGTCGTCGTCCACCACGTAAATCTTCCCGTCGCGCCCTCCCACGGCGTTCTTGCCGAACCCGATTGCACAGTCTGCTAGCCTTTGCCTGTTTTTCTCCCAGTTAGGGTCACACCTCCAACAATCATCAATGGGGTTGCCACTCCCACACGATAGGTACCCCAACTTCCTCCTAGACCTACTTATGGACCCATTTATTTTCCTGTAACAAAATTATAATCGATATAATTTTTTCTCTAATTCACATCCTAAATAGTCAGTCAAATTTATTTTTTTTTTTGACAAAAATTAATAATAAATAAATATTTTTCATCAATAATATAGTTTAAAGAATTGTCATATATATAAGACAATGATAAAGTAAAGTTTTATTTAAATTATCTTATCTTTATCACTAGGTCAATTCAAAAAAGATACCAAGATCGATCTGGTTGTGAAAGTATATGAAACAAATACTTGAAAATTTAGAATATTTAATCGTAATTATCTTAGATGATGTGTTACAATGTAAGATTTTATATTGACTGTACATGTCAACCAAAAAAACATTTCATTGAGGGCATTTTGTGAAAACAAGGTCTTATTTTTTTTTTAAGAACAATTAATGTGGTATCCGATGTAGATATCAATGTTTTGGAACATGTTAATTATCTCTACTCACATGAAGTTGATCAAAGTGATAGCATTCCTATTACTCTGACAAAATTTAGTTTGAGTGGTGGACAATTGCGCATATGTAAATGTAAGTGGGTAACATGGATGGATCTGAGGTGCTAGCTAGAGAGTGACATTACCTGTTTACCTCTTGTACGACAGATTCAGGGTTTAGAACATGTGAAGAGGAAATGAGGGTTGGAGTGAGAAGGGAGAAGAGCATGAAAAGCAAAGAGAGTGGAGTGCTTGTCATGTTGGCTCCTCTTTGCTATGCTAAGTAAGTGAGAGAGAGAGAGAGAAGAGAGAAGAGAGTGAAGTGAGAAGTAATGCACGTAGGAAAGGGTGTATATAAAGAGAGAAAAGCCGGGCCAAATGGCGTGATTAAACTAAACATAAAGGACCCAGTTGCATCCTGATTTCTGTTTTTACGGGATTCCTATTGGGTAGTTTAAGCGAGAAATAAATGATGGCGGAAATTAATGAAAAAACAGTGAAAGAAAAAACTTGATGGAGAAAAGGTATGAAGTAAGAAAAAGGGCATATACAGTTTAAGACATTACTTCATTTTTAACTACAAAGTGAAATAATGTTTGGTTACGTACGTACACTTGTGAGAGTGGAAATTAAATTAAACTAGTGGTATAATTGAAGTTATTCACATAATTCTACAACTGCTTTCAGAGGGTAGTTAATTAGGTTTTACCAACCTCATTAATTAATATGAGGGTAGAATTGATTGTACAACAGCATGCGGGGGTCCCTTAGGATCCCTAATGAAGACGTATTCAACAAAGTTCTTTTCTATCCTTGTCATATTAATATTCTGGCATAATCGTGATTCGTTGGGGATAATGAAATTAAGCCCACGAATCACGTAATGAGTAATGGACACTTTTTGATTAATTAAAGTAAATATTAATGAGACTAAAAGTAGAAGGCATGGACCATTATAGGTTAATTAATTAAATTTAACTAATATATGTTATTGGTCGTGAAAGTAAATTCTTCCTCCACCCAGTTCATGTATATTCTGTTTTGGCAGCAATTTTGACTTGGATTGAGATGAACGGTGGGTTGAGATTGTTAGAAATTAAAAGTTTAACCGGTGGAAAATATTGACTTATTTGCTCTAATGGGTCCATCTAGCTTTTAGTCACAGGGCATCTTATTGGAACATCCCAGTCCATATCGCAAGAGATTTATGTTATTTTTTTATTTATTTCTTTTAAAGTTATGTTATTTTTTATTATTAATTGTATAGTTTTTAAAATTTTATATTATCTTTTGAAATTTTATATAAAAAAATTCAAATTTTATAAATTTTTATGATGTAAATTCAATAAAATCAAAATTAAAAAATCTTGATGATAAAAGCCTTCTAAAATTTAAAAGTCATCACATTTTTATAAATTTTTTAAAAATTATAATACTTTTTTTGTTAAAATAATTTTATAGAATTCATCGATACGTAGAGGCAAATAGTTTTAACAAAACTTACCGTCAATATTTTGATTATTGCATTGAAAGTACTACTTCTAAGTAATCTTCTTTATCCAAAGACAAAAGATTAATGTTATGCTAGGTATCTCACTTGGCTATTTGAGTTTCTGATATGAATTATTTGTATGTCTTATTTGGTTATTTTGACATGCTTTACTTAAATGAATCTACGTCTGTTGTACTTTACTTACCACTCAAATAAATGGAATCGCGATGCTAAATGCGACAAACTTCAAAATCTGGAAGGAAGATGCTAGAAATTATTTAGCATATGCATTGGACTTGGCACTAAGGAAGAAATATACATTTCTACTTCAAAAGAAACTCAAATTAGGTTAAAATTCAAAAGTAAGATTGATCCAAATAAATAGGGGTGTTCATTGTTTTGTGTCAGCATAATGAATCCAATCATTTGAAACATTTCAATTTCATTACTAGAAAACTGTCATTTTCCTGAAAAAAAAAATATTCGTAAAAAATTTTTGCGAATTTTTCTCCAAAAAAATATTCGCAAAATTTTTTTGCAAATTTTCCTGCAAAAAAATATTCGCAGAAATTTTTTGCGAATTTATTTGCGAAAAATAATTTACAAATATTTCTTATAAATTTTGCTACAATTTTAATAATCATAAAAAAAAATTTTCATGGTAAAAATTTGTAAAAAATATTATAAGAATTTTATTTTGTTTCTTGCAGATTTTCTTGCAAAAATAAATTCGCAAGTAATGTTTACTAAATGGTAGAAAAAATTTTGCAGGTAACTTTTTATGCGGATTTTCCTGCAAATTTTAATCTGCAGGAAAAATAAAAAAATATATATTTAAATTTATAAGTTTAATATTTAAAAAAAAATTTCAAGTCCCACATCGATTAAAAATAAAACAATTAAATAGTATATAAGTTGGAGCACCACTTACCTTACAAGTTGATTTGTATGGTTGAGTGTTAGGCTTATAATATACAATCTTAGAATTTAAAAGATTATGTATCACATGTTGGAGGCATGGAAACAAATGTTTCAGATGAATTCATTATGAGCATTTGAAAGTTAAAAAATTATTAATAAAATTTATAGTAATTTCTTTAATTTTTTTCGTAAAAAATATTCTTGCATAATTTCTTGTGAAAAAATTCGTAGGAAACTTTCTTGCAAATTTTCCTATGAATTTTTTTTTGCAAGAAACTTTCCTGCAAAATTTTTTTTGCATGAAACTATCCTGCGAATTTTTTTCACAGGAAAATTTCCTGCGAATTTTAAAATTCGCAAAAATATATTATCCACGAAAGTATTACTTGCAAATAAAATTTCACAAAAAAATTTGTAGGAACAACGTTTCCTGCGAATTTTTATGATTCACAGGAAAAGTCGCATGTAATAAAAGAAATTCTAGTAGTGTTTAATTGATTCAAATTTTTTCTAATTTGAACGAGATTCAAACTAAATGAATTGAAAATGAACGTTAATTAGTTAGAATAGATTTATACTTTTGAAACTTAAACTAAACCAACTATTTATATTTTATTATTTATTATTTAATATAATATATATTATGTGTCATTTTAAAACACTCCTTTGTGTTTCACTTTCATTTTCAGATTTAAGGTTTCACAATTAGATCTTCATAATTGAAAAATTTTAATCCTCATTTCTTTTAGTAATTCTTTTTCTATTATTATAGATGGAATAGTGTTATTTAATTAATTAATCATGTATTTCTTATAATTATATTCAAATGTGTAATTCACATTGTTTTTATGATAGTACAATTATCTATCAATTTTGAAATACACTACTAGAAAAATAATATTTAACGTTGCTATATTTACACCGGTTTCCTAAAAAATGATGTAAAAAAATATGTAGTGGCAATCTTGTAAATAAGTAGAAAATATAAGCATATTTACATCGGTTCTTCCAAAAAATGATGTAAATATATGAACAATTCTACATCGATTATATTAGTGATCGATGTAGAAATGAAATCAATGAAGTATTCTACATTGGGTTTCTTATTGACCAATGTCGAAGGGATGAGCAAATTCTTTCCTCCACCTCGCGCAAACACACAGTAGCTACGAAGCTTACCCTCTCAACAATCTCGGATGCACACTCATCTCGACCTGCAGAATCTTGCTGATTTTCGAAGCAGTCCCGTGCAAACACACACTTGCTAGGAAGCAAACCCTCTCAACACTCTCGGACACACACTCATCTTGACCTACAAAACTTGCTAATCTTCGAAGTAGTCCCACACAAACACACATTAGTTAGGAATTAAACCCGCTCAACACTCTCAGACGCACACTCATCTCGACCTAAAGAGCTCTCATTGATCTTTGACTAATGACGATCCAAGCTCGTTGATCTTCGACTAACGACAGTCTAGGGAAGCGTTAAAGCGCTTTTTGACGAACAACATTTTAGGTAAACTTGGTGAAGCCCTTTTAGTTGCGTATCTTAGTTGTGTCTTTTGTTTCTTGTTGCCTCTCACATCTTGTACAAATGGGTCCTAATGGTTTAGAGTTTAGAGACACTCCCGATGGAGCTTTCCCGAAAAGCAATGGTCCTATCGTGCGAGTTCGTTGCCAAAGGTATTTGTTTGATTTATGATGTAACTTTGTTTGGTTTCAAAAAAATGGAGAAGTGTGGGCACAATAGTGGCCACAATTGCAGTTTTTTGTTTGATATAGCCTTCTAAAACTCATTTTTATCCATAGAATAGCATTGTTTGGATTTTTTGTGTGTAGAATATTCCAAGAGTTCCCTCTGTTTTGTCATTTGTTTCTTCACACTATATAAGGTTGTTTGTTTCATGTGCTTTGTTCTTTGAATTCCTTTATTAGATTTTACATTTTAAATTTTATATAAGCTTTGGAGCCTTTCTTTTGGATTTGATTGTTGTCATTGCTGCTATGTATGCACTCTTCTTCAAGTTTGCAATATTAGTACAATTATTTGAAAATCAGATACCATGCCCTGTTGTATTTTGTTCTTAGTTTTGTATTTTTGATTGAGAAATTTTTTTATCAGTACTTTCTAATAGCAGCCACCCTCTGCATTGTGTAATTAGAGGAAGCAACAGATAATTATTTTCATAATTTCTTATATTAATTATTTTAAAAAGTTTTTCTTAAATCAAATAGGAGTGATGGGGATGGTGGGTGGGGTTTCTATGTTTGTGTTTGTGGTGGCAGTAAAGGTTGCAGCTTTGCAACTTCTCACGATGGCAAAAAGATCCAAATCCTCATGACCCCAACCAAACAAACCTGTTTAATATTTGGTTGGTTTGGTTGGGTTAGACCAAATAAATTTTGAAATTTGAACCAATTAACACTACTACAATTTGAATAATCTTAGTCGCTTAATCTAAGACGGTTTACTAAAAGGAACCTAATCTACTATGGTTAGACAATAACCGTAGTAGAATAGCTTAGACGCATATATCTATGACGGTTTATTGTAAAACTGACTTAGATGATAAGTGATCTACGACAGTTTATTATAAAACCGACTTAGATGATAAGTGATCTACGACGGTTTATTGTAAAACTGACTTAGATGATAACTGATCTACGACGATTTTTGTGTAAAACTAACTTAGATGGAGACACAAAATTATCACGCACACGTTTTCTCTCATTTCATGCGCGCCCTTCAGTCTCCCACCCACAACCTCGTTGTCTCTCTCAGTTCTCTCTCAATTGCTCTCAACGTCTCAACCTCGTTGTCTCTCTCAGTTCTCTCTCAATTGCTCTCAACGTCTCAACCTCATTGTCTCTCTCAGTTCTCTCTTAGTTGCTCTCAA